CGCAGGCACAAAGGGGATGTGACGGCTTTGATTATAGATTATTGATTATTGATAGGCGACCGGTGAAACACAGCGTTGATTACAGAGATTTCAACCTCTTTGTGTTAAAGCTGCTTTGTTGAATTAAAGTTGACCTTTTTATTGACATGAAACAAAATCCAAAGCATTTATAAAAATATAATCTATAAAGTTCTAACTGCCTCCTGAGCGCTGTGACCTTTGACCTCCTGCTGTGGCTCCAGTGTGTCGCAGGTCTCCACAGAAGGAGCTCTGAGCGACTGCACTCTGCCTCTGACGGTGTTCGTCAGTCGGGCTCCGCTCACAGGCCCGGATGTGGAGCGGGTCAGCACCGGCACCAAGTTCGCCCTGGAGCTGTGGCTGAAGAGCCTGGAGACCCCTGACCCCTGACCCCTGACCCCTGACACTCTGCAGGTTTCAGGAAGGACAGCTCTGGATCAGAGACATTTCTTTCTTATTTTTCAATAAATCTGAAACAGAAAGTGTGACACCAGCTGACCAGAACTGTTCATTTACTCTCCTATTACACATACTGATTCTAGTATTTATTTACCTGTTATTGTTCTATTATTATTATTATTTATCAATATCATTTTATAAAAGTGTATTTAAATATATTATCTAATCAATATATTTATAATATTTATAATGTTTTTTATAAATACTGATTTTAGCATTTTAAATATTTTAAAATGTAGTTATTTATATTATATAATTATATTTCAATATATTTCTATAAAGATGTATATAAATATATTGATAAAATCATATATTTATAAGATATATTGATTATTTGAAGACTTCAATCAGTATTTATAAAAAACATTATTAAATATATTTAAATATATAAAAAAAACTAATTCCAGTATTTATTAAAAAAATATATAGTTTCTATTCATGTTTTTATAATAAACATTGATTTCAGCATTTATTAAAATAAATGTAAAAGTCTAAAAATATATTGTTATATTATTCTATTTAAATATATAATATATTTTTATACATTTACTTTTTTACTAATACTGATGACTGTATTTATTAAAAAATATAAACATATTATTGTTCTATTATTGCTGTTTTGAAATATATTTTTAGAAATATTTATAGTATTTTAAACTCTGAAAACCCTAATAAAAAGAGAAAAGATAAAAAAAAAAAAGTCATTAGAGTCTGCACATGATCTCTAAAAATCCTGATTATAATAATAATAACTTTATTATTATTGCCCAGACTTTGTTATTATGCCAAATCCCTTTTAACCCAAATAAAAATGTGTAAAAGATTCTGTATTTTCAGGTATTTGTATTTATTCACTTTTTTATCGGCTCAGTGGGCTGGAGCCTTCGGGCCAGCAGGTGGCAGCACAGAGCAGATATTAATGAACCCACTCTGACATCAGATCCTTTCCAGCCTCCGACTTTATATTGGATCATGGAGATAATAACACACATGTTATTATTAATTCCTGCTTCTTTGTGCACATATTTTAATCTATAAATACACCTCATATAAATATATAGATGTTCACTTTTTAGAACAAATAACAACTACTGAAGACACAAAAGGCAGAGAAACTTTTACAGAAGACAAAAGCAGCCGACACTAGTTAGTTTCTTTAAAGATTATTTATTTATTTATTTTTCATCAGGAAAAACTTTGATAAATAAAGTTTCTGTTGATGTTGGGAAACATACAGACACATTACAGATTCATTAATAATGATGTTTTCCCACCTTCAACCAACAGAATAAAAACCAGCAGTGACGTCACTTCAGATCACAAATAAAGCTGCTGACTCATCTCATGTCCGGTCTGTGCGTCCCTCCAACATGGTGGACTCAGGTCAGTCCAGTCTGAACTGAGCTGAACTCACAGACTCAACTGTCAGATGTGTCTTTACAGCTATAATCTGTAACATTTCCTCATGAAACAGGGTATAAACTCTAGAGCTATGTTCTATATGGAGCTGATTCAATCAATAATCAATAATCAGAAGCGTCATACATTGACTGTTTACATACCACTGTTGATCTGGTCTTTTAAGCCTAATTTTGAACGCCGGGAGAAGGATTTTAGTCATCAGACTCTGGATGTTAAGTTATCAGAGAAACAAGCTGAGCTAACGTTAGCAGCTAATGTTATTCTAATAATTCATAATTCAGTTTACAGCTCACAGTTAATAGTAGAGGACCTCTTTATTGACAATATGTTGACTTATCATGCACATAAGACACAACAGTTAGACGTTTTAGTGGAAGAGAAAACAAAAAGTGATGTGAGGATATTTTATTCACAAACAATAACTGAACATAAAATAAGGTTTGCGAGGAGGATGTGGGACGTTTGTGTTTCTGAGTGACTCACTGAGCCCAGCCCAGTCTCTTTATATTGATATCAGCTCTATCACTCTCGTATCAAACATTTAGAAATTCCTCCACCGCCCCGCCTCGCACCACGCCTCGTCTTCGCTTTCCATCTTTGTGAGGCTCTTTGTGGCAGAGCTGAAAAATAACCTGGACTTGAAAAAGGAGGTTTCAAAGCTGCAACAATGAGGATCCACTTTCAGCCTGGAACTTTCCTGCTTCACAACAATACAGAGCAAACTGGGACAGTGGTGCCGCTGCCAGACTGAAATATGATTATTAACACAGCAGCAGTGGCAATAAAAACATTGTTAAACATAAAAAACATATAATTATAGTCATCAAATGTCAAGTTAGGGTTGTTTTTTTAATGGAAATATAACAATTAGTCAAAAAAAATGTTTTTGTTTTACACATTAATAATATCACAACAAATATCAACAGAAAATATAATGTAAGTGGGAATATTTATGAAAGGCATTTTCTGCCAATGTGAGAAAAAAAAAGATTCTGTAAATCTGTAAATTATTGAGACACAAATCAATATTTTGGAAAGTTTCTCTTTATAATAATTTACAGAATAATTTTTTTCTGTCATAATGGTGGAAAATGGCTTCCATAGTAATGTCTTATAATAACATATAAAAAGTGTTGGAGATGTACAAAACATGATGTTTCATGAATATAATCAATTATTAAGACCTGTGTCAATAATAATCTCACACTTTAAAATATAAAACACATAATTGCAGTTTTATATCAAACATAATGTCAAGTCAGAGTGAACATTTATATCTAATAATTTAATAAATAATAATAAAATTTCTGAAAATGTTTAACAGCTGTGACAATAATATGTCAAATATTCATGTTGATAATTGTAAGGATTATAACGTTAGACTCTTATAGACACATTTATAGGATCAATACATTGTTTTTTAAGATAATACATAATAATTGGTATAATTAATGTAACTGTAAATATACAGAACAGTAACAGTGACAGTATCCCAACATCTTTAAAAGAAAGAAAATATTAAAATAAAGCTATTCTGACTATATAAAGCATCTTTTGGTATCGGACATTTTTAAAGACATGAACAGAGTCATTAAATGTACTTAGATATGCTATGTGCTAGGCTAATCTATGTTAAAAAAGATAACAAGTGAAACAAATCCACATCAATCATTAGCCAGTTACATCTGATCCGTAATGTTAGCTAAATGTAAGCTAACTAGCTCGTAGATTAATGATTGATGTAGCTTAGTTAGTTAATGTTTTGCTAACTTAAGATGATATATCTTTTTTATCTTTTAACCATGTTCAAAATGTGGTTGTCTTTGCAACATAGATTAGCCTAGCATAGCATATCTTAGTACAGGAAAGGAGGAAGCTGACCGAGGCTTAAAAAGGGGGCGGGGCTTAGGAAGGGTCAATTATTTCAATGCAACAAAACCAACAACATCGCTAAAATAACAGAGCTGGAAGTTTAAAAGAAAATTTTAAAAATAGTATTACTAACTTTTATATGAAACAGTGTGAGGGGTCATTTTGGTATAATTATAAGTCTAAAATGACGTAACACAAAATGGTGATAGTAACAATGTCTTCTAAAAATAATAATAGCAATGAATATATTGTAATATGAAGCAGTTTATCAATTAAAATTGACAAAATGTCATATAATTATTATATAAAATAGTATCTTTCATTGTATGAGTCATGTAATTAGCATTATATAATTTTTTTATTATTATTATTTGTCGTTGTCGTTCTGTTTTTCATTTATTTGATGGAGCTCCCTAGTGCCTTATAGACAATAAATAAAAATTACATTAAAAATTATTTTCAGTCGGATCAGGATTATAATTTAAAAAACAACAAAACACAAATAAACAAAAGAAGTGATTTTGTCCTGCATTGGTTGGGTTGATGAGTCATTAGGCGTCGTTATTGGTTGACCTTGTACATCCCCGTCCGGCTCTTCATCGGCTTATCCAGCTCTTCCTGAAAGAAAGGAATTATGGGAAGAGCCATTACGTGCTTTAAAGAAGATGTTTTTTTGTTTGCCTTTGGAGTTGTTTGTTTATATTTTTCTCATTTGGTGAAGCTAGGCTAGCAGTTTACCCTTGCTTCCAGTCTTTGTGCTAAGCTAGGCTAAACATGCCCTATATTTCACACAAAGAGGAAACTGGACTGAACGTTTCTAGGATGTTGTAACAAAATTACAACCCGCAGAGCTCTGCACACACAGCACTGACATTATGCTTCGACTTAATTCCTGATATAATAAATATAAATGTGTATTCAGTCTCTTACGTAGCTGTAATGAAAATGTTAAATGTAATGTATGTAATATAATGCTACCTTCTGGTCTCTTACACGTGTTCATTTATTACTAATAGTAACTAAGATACAGAAGTTATTTATTATTAATAAGAGATTAGTAACAGTAAAGTGTCATCAGCATAAAAACCCAACAAAAGGAACTAAAA